ACCGGCTAAACACCATTCTTAGTCCCCTAAAATCCCCTTGTCTGTTTCATATTGGAGCTTTCAGCATCTAAGTTCTGTGACAAATCGGTCAACAGGGATCATTTGCCAGAACTTTGGAGCCATGCGTGTATGCTATTTTTGAGACTTATACAGAAGCTGTGTGGTTATTGACTTGATCTCACTTTAATCTTCAAAATTCGTATCCGGAGTTTCAAGGGCTAGTCCTTATGAACTCGTCGGTGTAGGTGTAGCAAAAAACGCACTCAACTGGATACCAGTAAATAGCTATCTGTGCTGTCCAACTCATTGGTTCTACAAGGACTAGAAAAGACCATAATCTCCACCTATACGCCCACTAGCCGCAGTTCGAATGATGCGAAAAATGAATTCTCTCAAATCTATCAAATCTGCTGAGTGAAGCAAATTGTTCAGATATAGTCATAGTGGAAGGTGGCTTCTGCTTTCAAGTAGGGAATGTTTGCCAGTTGGGAAAAATTGTCTTGGATGTATCTACGGTATTTCATACCGACAACGGTGGTCTTCTGCTGCAGTTTTATTCCGACGATCACTTGTTTCTAGTCAGCACTAATTTCAAGCAAAAGTAGAGGCGCTATCTGACTTGCTGTTCGGTGAGATCAAACCAACGATAGACACGTATTGCTACAAGCCATCGTTGGAGAGGGTCGGTGGGGGACTGCCGCTTTTTTTGGAGTACTCATTTGGACGCTGATCACGCTTTAATAAAGCGACGTGTATGTCTGGCCCTTTCTGGTCGCTGAAAACAGGTAGCAGTGAGGTCCGTATATTTTTGACTGGAAGATAACTCGGAGTATTTATTTAGAGAGGAGACAATATTTATCTGAACGTGGCAACAATCTTCATCCTAAGGAAACCTGATGTAACATTATGTCTGCTGTTGAAACAACGGTAAGGACAGTAGGTAACCTACATCTAAAGATTAGCAAAAGTTACTGAGTTTCTGCATCGTCATTCGAACAGGTTGATGTGAAAAGATCCATGTAAGCTTGTTGTGACCACAATGAAGAGCAAAAGCAAATTGACCAAACGTCTTCGCAATGATGGCAAGGAGCCGTCGGCTTCGAAAATAAGAGATGCAGAAAGCATGAACGTTAAGTAATGGGCGGCATTTTTTGGGCTTGTCAAGGATACTGGCAAGCAGAAGACGGTAGTTATTGAGAACGCCGGAAAGGATGGGATCCTAACAACTTATGGCGGCTAGAACGTTGAACAAAACACTTCGAAGCATAAGTCAACTGGCCTAGAACAATGCTTCAGTTTCCCAGCATTCAGCCTGGATGGGAAATAGGTGTCAGTCCTTCAACTGTCCTTGAAGTTGGGGTGGTTTCGAACCTGGAATGATACAGAGCAGCAAGACCTGACGGGCTACCACCGAAAGTACCAAGGATGGAAGTAGGGAATTACCAAGTAGGGTGACGAAGATCGAATCAAACTGCACTCGATAACTACACGCATGTTGACACATGGGTCGTAAATATTACATCAAGCCTAATAATGATACCGTGCTACTCAAATATCGGCAGGCGGAGGGCGGTTGGAACCCGTGGACCACTGGTTGGAAGTCGAATGACTAGACTAATGAACCACAGCTTTCCGAGTAACGGAGGTACTTGTTAGCGCAAGGGAATCAGAGAGAGTCCCATAAAGTGGTCTGCTTCGCTGATCCCGGTCTATAGTAAAGGGAAAAAAACCTTGTGACAACCATAGGAGAACCAGTTTAACTGACAACCATGGTTATCAAACGTCTAAGTGGAGCTCTAGAGCTACAAACTTGAGAAAACAAGGCAGGTTTCTGACCTGGACTAGGGTGCATCTACCAAATTTTCAACTTTCGTCATGTTCCGGAAAATCGGGATACTAGTGGCCGACAATTGCCATGTTTCTCCACCTGAAGGTGGCACTTGGTTCTGTGACTTGTGTGGAGGAAGTACAGAGTATGTAAAGCTATGCAGAGTTCTTTACTAGAAAACACAACTGTGTCAGACCTTATGAAGAGTTGTCGTCTGAATTGATGACTAGTGGTATGCGCTAGCGATACCGTCTACCACCGTTCTTACTTAGTGTCGTTATAGATATATTAATGGACATTTCCTTAGCTACGTCTGAATTCATGGGGATTGATCTACTCCTTGGAAGGCATCTGATTGACTTAGGGTATGTAGACGGTATTGTCCTGTAATACAAAGACGCTGATAAAATACGCGGCCTTCTGGACGCCTTGAGCAGAAGTCTGATTATGTTTGGTGTGTGTTTCTCAGCCGTCAAATCTAAAGCTTCAGGACTGGTCTACTCCCAGTTTAAGGATAGGAAGTGAGATACTTGAATGTTTTGACCACTTCATTTACTTTAGGAGTTGTATCAGCTCAAACAGGATGGTCTCTGGCAAAATTTCATTTCGTATGCAAAAGACCCGTTTGGCATTTGCCATCTCTGGCATTGACTGGTTAGATATCCGACTACCTATTAAATGGTCAGTATACTTCACTTAAGTTCGTTGTGAGACGGCCGTTAAAAGTATGTGTAAGGGGACTACAGTCGTTGTCATTACCTCTTACCCTGGTAACAAATTCAGCAGGGCACACTATTCTATTAGAGTCATCTTTGTTGTACCCTACTTTGACATTTTCATTTGTGTACTACTTAACGGGTTAAATGATGAGTCGTTTTTTTTATCTTCGTCATAATTCATATGGGTAGAGGGAAGAAACTACACTAAGTCGAGATAGAGCTCTTAGATCAAAGTATACAAAAACAACAGATTGAGATGGTTATGCCCTAATTAGTAGCGATTATATGAATAAATGCCATGGTGCTAGTGGTTTCCAAGGTTTGATGCAGCATCTTTCTGATATTGTTCATCCTTTTTTACTAAAAAGGTAGATGTAAGCTTCAAAAAAGCAGGACCAGATGGGATACGCCAGAAGCACTGAGAACAGATGCAGAGACAACAGCAGACATGCTCACACCACTATTGCAGAAGGTGTGAAGGAAGAGAAGGTACCTGCCTATTGATTGGAAGAAGGGTTGCCTTGTCAAACTGCCGAAGAAGGAGACCTCAGTGTTTGCAAGAACTGGCGAGGAATCACTCTCCTGTCCCCAAAGCAAGCAAAATATTAAGCCGCATAATCTGGAGAGGCTTAAGGATGCACTGGATTCAAAACTACGACCGGAACAGGCAGGCTTCAGGAAGTACAAATCATGTGCGGACCAAATTGCAACGCTTCATATCATCATAGAACAGAGCATAGAAGGCAATCAGCTCTCTACCTCAACTTTATCGACTTTGAGAAGGCCTTTGACAGCGTCGACTGAGAGGTAGTTTGGAAACTGCTTCATTACTACGGAGTACCGCAAACCTTATCAGCCTCATTCAACAACTATATGAAGATGCCACATGCCAAGTAATTCACAATGGGAAGCTCAGTGATGCTTTTGAAGTGAAGACAGGGAGTGAAACAAGGTTGCCGCTACTATCACCCATGATATTCCTGATTGTGGTGGACTGGATCATGCAGCAAACAGTGGGGAGCGAGAAGAGGGGATACGCTGGCTGGACTGCGGAAAAGAACCTAGAAGACTGGATTTCGCCGATGACTTGTGTCTGATGTCACACAAACTTGAAGATCTACAGGCGAAAACTAACAAGTTGGCAGAAGAGACAGCGAAAGAAGACGGGACTTCAAGTGAATAAAGAGAAGACAGAGGTGATGAAGATACCGCACCACCACCATCAACAACACAACAAACTCCAGTCACCATGAACGGGAGAAACTTAAAGGAAGTAACCTCCTTCACCTATCTAGGCAGTACTGTTTCAACTACAGGCGGCACAGACGAGGATGTCAAAGTCAGAATCGGAAAAGCAAGACAGGTGTTCATTAGCCTTAAACCAGTGTGGAGATCTTCTGCACTCAGCATGTGGAACAAGATACGGATTTTCAACACCAACGTCAAGTCAGTGCTCTTGTATGGCTCAGAGACTTGGCGCCTTACGAAAGGGATTTCAATAAACTACAGATATTCACCAACAACTGCTTACGCTCGCTACTGAAGATCACATGGATTGCCAGAAAGAATAAGCAACAAGGAGCTCTGGGAACGAAACAACCAAGAACCTATCACCCAACAAATATGCAGAAGGAAGTGGAGATGGATTGGGCGTACACTGAGAAAGCCGACTGTGGACATCACGCGCCAGGCAGGCCGTCGAGTGGAATCCCCATGGGAAGCGACGAGTTGGACGTCCAAGGGTGACATGGAGGAGGTCGTGCGAGGAGGAAAGAGGTTGTGGGCTGTCGTGGGACCAGGTTCAAAAGATCTCAGAGAACAGAGTCACTGGAGGCGTGCTACTGAAGCCCTATGTTCCATTAGGAACCCAAGGACTAAATAATAAAATTATAAGCTTAAAAAAAAATTTGACTGCAGTTGGTCACATATAACATAATTAGCATCAGAATTGACACTTTTCTTTAAACATCTGTGACTTATCAATAACTTTCACAGGGGAGAATGTTATTTCTTAAATAACATTCTGATGTAAAATCTTTGGAAGAAAATATTAAAACAGCAGTTGTTTTGAAACGAATCACTCCACTAGTTCCGGTATATAGTCATCTCTTTAATTACATTACAAAGTTCTGCAGTGTAAAAGTAGATACTTTGAAGCCTACTGTTTTTCATGCAATAAGTGATTCACTGGGCTAGATAAGTTATCACATCAAAAAGCTAACTAATGTTTAAGTTGATTAATTTGTGACATATCTCTGTTAAGGCTTTCAAGTACTAAAAATTGCTGCGCATATTCCGTGTAATTCTAGTCGTTTGTTTTTCTACGTTTTTTTCTGATGGAAATCTACTATGGAATTATTGAAACCGCATAACTCACCCAAACTTTATTAATCCCTTTCATTGCAGGTGCTTGTTCTTCATTCTGTCTCACGGATATACTTAAACTTGATCTGATGGTCACATATGTCAGTAAAAATACCAAGTATGAAGATTTCTATCTCAAGTAGGATTTTATAGTCTTATTTATACACCTTTTATTTAGTTATCTTATGAGAAATCAACCGTGTATATTTGATTCCTGGCTAACTCATGATTGGTTAGCATGTTCAACATGGTGTTCTCCTATTGGATTTATTAATACAGAGAAATTATTCGAAAACATTTCAGGTAGATTGTATTCAATCTCTTTTTTTTTTCTAAAGATTCGAAGTTATGTGTATCTAACTGTTCCGTCTTTGAATTCGATACACACCCAGTTTTTGAAATCACTGTTGACGAATTCTTATCCTATTGGAATAATCGAATAGAAGGGAAAGATGATCGTATCCTTTATCTGAAAGATTGGCATTACTTTAAATATAATTCAGAAAATAACTGGTTCAATTTGCCAGAATACTTTTCATCTGATTGGCTGAATGAGTTTTGGGAGTTTAGAAATGATCTCTCTGATGACTTTAAGTTTGTATATTTGGGAAGTGAGGGGACATGGACACCTTTTCATGCTGATGTATATCGTTCATTCAGTTGGTCAGCAAATATACTTGGCCATAAGCGCTGGTGGATTTTTCCTCCTGGTTGGTGTTCTAATTTGCTACATGTTACATTTAACTATTATGTTTGTATACTACAAAATTACAGATTTTTCTATTCAATTCATCTACTCATTAATTCCGTTAGTGGAATCACAGCTCATTGGTCTAGGCATTTGACGTTCTGTCGAACCTTTTCCCTTCTACCGAGGTTTGATTCACCGAGTAATGTCAATAATCTGTATACAATATATTTAGTTATTGACCTTTCGTATGACATTGGCTATAGTAACTGAGTGTGATGTTAGTTATTCTTATCAACACTATTGCCATCATTATAAATATTATTGTTTTAGTTTCACTCAAGTTTTTTTTATCATAACTGTTAGGGTTACTTGCATTAAGGTTTGGATTTGTAAGGAACACTTTCGCGTCATGTTTCTCCTATTGCATATATTCAACGTATCTAAAGTTAAGGGGTCATATTCGATTTTATATCAAGACAAACTGTATTTGTGTGTAGAAAAGAAGGATAAAATCATAGCATAAACCCATATTGTATGAAGTCTTGATCACATCTGCTACAGCGACTGAGGAGACCATGAGTTATTAGTTTATGTACGCAACTCGGTCAGTGAATCATTGACTGAAATTACTTTATCCAACTTAGCTTAAACGTCTGGGCAGTATTGTCACAGTTCTCGCCAATTAGTGTATCGTGGCCCAATTCCTTGATCTCTGGTAGATTATATTTGAAAGAAACTATTGTAAGTCGTATCTTTGATATTGAGATAAAACTTTTTCCTGGTAATCCTTGCATAAACCTTTTTTATATTGTTGACATTTGTTGCATAACTTGTTACCTGTGAGTTGAGGTGATAAAGATGCGTTGATGAAAACTGTGAAAGCCTTGACAGTTTCTTTCTTGTCTAGTCAAGTGAAGTCAGCTCTTATCGGTTGCGGTAAACTTTTGTTTAATGTCCAATTTTAAGGTTTGGGGGAGGGGGGGGGGTATTAATTTCAGTTTGGTATTCATTGTGGACCGACATCAATTGCACAAACATTGGAAATCTGGGAGCACTGGACAGCTGTTTCGTTCTAGTGTTGGGACTCAGCAGTGGGCAGCTGTGACGCCTCCAGGGATCAAACCCAGGACCTCCAGGTTCCATGGCCAACACGTTACCATTAAGGCACTGGGTACTAGGTCGGGATCCAGTAGTCCATATTTTCTACTTCAATCAGTTCATAATATAGCGTGACCTCTATCCAATACCGTCGTTGATCAGCTTTCTTCATGTTCGACTTGGTTAGCCTCACTAGTCACGACTTCTCATTGCAACTTCGAGAATCCTCTCTCGAAGCTGTTCACTAATGAGCACTCGATTAATTCATTTTGGAGGTTTGGGGGGTCTGTTGATTTCAGGTTGGTATTTATCATATGTTGATAGGTATCTGGTATTCTAAATTTTCAAGACTGAATTTTTAACGCATTAAAATGAAATATAAGGAATTTTATGACGACACATACAAAGTAATCAGTGTTCTTAGTTTTCTTTTAATTCGACCAAAGTAGAATACCAAAAAATAACGTAACAGTTTAAGATAAACACTTAAAATCACTGTCAGTTAGTATCAGTATGAAAACTTTATGTAGCAGTCTGGTTTGCCATCAGCACATCAATGCAAAAGTAGCAAGATAAAAGAGCGAAAAATAGGAGGGCGAAGGGGGAATTTAGTAATTGTTGAAAGTGATAATAGGAGAGTAAGGGGGTGGGGGAAGGCAAATGACATGTTTTATTCATGCTTAATCAATGTCTGCCACGTCACACATTATTGGCTGAACTAGGTTTAGTCTAGAGAGAAGTTGAAGGTGGCCAGACTAAAGCGTAGGAAAATGTAGAATTTGAGGAATCGGTGCTTGGCGACTCTGGGTGATATGGCTCAAATTCAACCCCAGTAGTTCAGGTGCGTCCATATATTATTATTGTAATCTCCAGACTGAATTTCGTCATTGTTTAATCCCCACTTCTCTCCTTGAAACTGGCTACTCTCGATTTCTTCCTTCTTCACTTCTCTACCTTTCATCTTGCTGCTTTTTTTTTATTGATGTGAGGTGTAGCAACGTGAACTGTTAGGCAGTAATGCTACTGATGGTTTCGATATTGACTTGACTAACTGAGACAGTTTATCACAATAACAATCTGTTATACGTTGATTAAGATGAAGATGACGTGTTCGAAGAATCTGTGCCAATACGATCGATTGTGAGTCATGCCACCTGAAATCTGTAACCACTGATTTCGGTCTTCATGTGGACTCCAACCGAAAGTTTGCATTTCTCTACACAGCTCAGACAAACAATCAAGGACTGTTGCCAGGTCTCATTATGGTCGCCTTTGACCTTTTTCCATCTTGAACCCACTTCGGCGACACTAAGCGATGGTGCAGACGGGAACTTGGTATGCGTGACGCATATCCGAGACACCTGTGATGATGGAGGTTTAAAACCTCACCAAATCACTTACTTTTTGGCGTGGTGGTGGCAGTTTCATAACCCATGTGCGGTAGCACGAGGGTAATGGTAGTCGAAGATCTGAAGCTTTCTCATACCCCCCATCTTTATTGTTTATGTTTCAAAACCATGGTTTAAAACAGAGAGCTGCTGAGAAATACACTCTGTCCTTAATAGACAATGGGATGTCATGGCGATACCATAAATGGGGTTGATTTGCTGAAACCCAAACGAGCCTTTCATATCCGTGCAGAGATTTCGTCGACCACTGACTCACCGGAGCTGACCTGACTTCCCAGGTAAGTGAAGTGGCCAATACACTCAACCATTTCATTCCATACTGTTAGACGAGGTACCAACGCAGGCCAGTCCTGGAACAGCTGTTTACATCTGGACGGATAGAAACGCATGTCAAACATTCTCAAATTGCTACTCAGTGTGAACAGAAAACTCTACATAAGTCACTGTGTTCACCTAGCAGGAGTATTTTACTCTAGGTTTAATAAATATTTTCTTGTGACTAGGTCAATCCCTGTAAAGTTATCTTAGGGGCAGGAGATATCTGTGATTACCTCTGATAAAATTGAATAAGAATGAAGATAGTGGGCATCCTTGATGAACTCCATTTGGTGCACACAACTCACCTGACACCTCACCATAGGGTCTGGTACGCCCATTGCTGTTCGAGTACAATGCCTTCATTAGAATCTTGTACTTGCCCGACACCTCATCCGATAATATACTGCCATAAGACCTCTCTATCGACGGAGTCGAATGCCTGATTCAGATCGAGAAATATAGCTAGTGTCGGGCGTCCACAAGTGTGCCTGCGTTCTGAGACCTGTTGAAGGGTGAAGATTTAGGTTGTACACCCACAGTCAGGTGTGAAACTTCCCTGGTTTCGCTGTTTTATGCTTCACTTTGGTGTCTAAGGATTATGGAGTCTATAATCTTAGACTAATTCTTCTGTGATAATCATAAGAGGATCTATTTTCTTTCTTGAAAGCCAAGACGACCAGTGGTTGTACCAGTCACAAAGTTGCATATCTGATTCCCATATTCCAGCTGACACTTCAGTTAGTCTAACTGATGATCCTTAGTCACCATCCTGTAATACCTTTGGTGTTAGTCAATCGAGACCTACCATTCTTCATTTTTGGTTGAGTTACATGTACTATATCGGGATGCGACTGCGAAGCGGGCGACTGAAGAATAGCTGCAGGTCAATTGAACTGCTACTTGAACTGTTCAACTCATCATTTCACTCCATCTCTCTTGTAACTGAATAGCAGACTCATCTTTCTCTGCTATTGCCTCAGATAGATAGGATCAACGTAGAACCTCGCATACAAGTGCATCAGTCCAAGTTACCACACTTCACAGTAAAGGTATACAAGGAACAGGTGGATAGAAGAAGAGTGATATCAAAGTAGACTAAAATGTGTGAGAGAATAAGCAAGTTGAAGGTAAAGGTTGGTGAAAATATTCAAGCTTTGGAAGATGTTAAGTAGTGAATAGATCTGCGCCGTTGTAGCAGACTTCCAGCCATGTCACCAAGAGTTCTCAACCATTGATTTCTATAGTCTCTGGGACCGCCGCGGGTCTACATCTCTCAACTCCCGTCAGAACAACAGGGAGAGACTTCACCAACTGGTGCCACGTGTTGGTCTGGTCACCTTGAACTCTTGCAATCTAATCCATCTTCTCTGACATGGCATGTCGAGGCAGGTGGTGATTTGACATGTCCAACCAACCCACCTCATCTGATGAAGGTTAACAAACTCATCACTTGGTTTATTCATCTTGCCTGACCTCAAAATTACTCAGACGATGATTCCATCAAACGCGAGCAATGCTACTAAGACACCTATGATCAAAACCCTATAACCGCTTCATGTCTTCCACTTTTAACGGACATGTCTCAACCGTACGACTGGACAGAACGGACTGCAATACAGCATGCTCATCTTTCGATAGATAATCGGATATCTTGCCGATGCCACAGGTGACTCAAGTTGGGAAATTCCAAACAGGCCTTCTGCTTCCGAGCTGAGACTTTGTCAGCAACCAGCCCGTTTGGTGTGCTTATGCAACTCCCGAGGTAAGTGAAATGGTCGACATATTCCACCACTTCACTCTCTATCATTAAGCCAGGAGTACTTGCAACAGACTAGTCCTGGAGCATCATCTTACGTTTGACAGGTGCGAAATACATGCTAAACATATTCAGATTTTTGCTCAACGTGTCAAGAAGACCTTGCATTTCCCGAAATCCTCATCCTGCAGGACAATATCGTCTATGTACTCCAAGTCAACCAGATGCCCTCCAAGGAGTAAATAAACCCCTGTGAAACGAAACACGGCTACGGATATGTCCATTGTTGCATCTATGATGAATTTAAACAGGAACACCACAAAGTGTCGTCAATTCTGATAGCAACTATCCATAAAACCCTTACACAGCTGTGTGAGTTCGAGTAGAGAGCTCCGATTAGCGTCAAATACTTACTCACTACTCTCTTCATAGTCAGAC